CAGGTGAGACCCAGCCAGTGTGTATGTGTGTGTGCGTTTGCACGGGGCCCCCCTGCACGCCCAGCCCTGCCACCAACCCCACTGCTATTCCCGGCATCTGCAGCAGGTCGGGACAGGCATCAAGGAGGGGTGGCTGCCATTCAGCAAAGGCCCCATCAACCCGCTCAGAGCCCCTCAGAGACAGAGGGACTGGGAACTTTGACAGGGAGGGTGCACAGGGCGGGGGTCCTGTGGGGTACAGCATCCCAGAGGGCCCGGGCAGCAGCCGAGCTTTGCGGCAGGAAGGTGGCTCCATCTGCAGGACACAGCCCCGCCGGGAGCCCCGCCGGGAGCCACGAAGCCGTGGGAGCCGCGGGCCCCGCGCCGGGAGCCGTCGGGGCTGCGGGAGGCGGGGCCGGGCCGGGCTCCACCTCGGCCCCCGGCCCACATAGGCCGGCAGAGAGGGCCCCTTGCCCCTCGGAGCCTGCGCTGTCCCGGGGCCGTGGGGCGGAGCACGATTGCAGCAGCGGAGGAGGGTAGGGGGTGTGCGGTGCGTCCCGTCTATCCGAACCGTCCATCCGCCCATCGGGGCAGGATGCTGCGGCGGCGCTGCGGTCGCCTGCTGGCCCAGCTGGCCCAGCTGGAGCGGGCACGGCAGCTGCTGGAGCTGGACGGCCGCCTGGAGGAAGGTCGGTGTGTGAGGCATCTCTGTGTGGAGCTCGTGGGGGGCTCTGAGGGCGGCCTCCAGCTCGGTTTGCCACCCACTGCTGTTACCTGCAGACTTCATCCGCGTTGTACGCAGCTTTGAGGCGACACGCCAGCGGTGCTGCTGGCTGGAGAAGGACAGGCAGCGTGCCCACGAGCAGCTGGCCCGTGCTGAGCATGAGCGGATGGCACTGGAGGTGAAGCTGAAGCATGCCCGCAACCAGGTGGAGGTGGAGATGAAGAAGCGGCACCGTGCAGAGGCTGAGCTGGAGAAACAGGTCTGCTGGGCTGACAGCTGGCACACAGCAGGGGTGCTGGGAGTGCTTGCCTCATGCCACCCCATTTGGGTCACAGGAGCGCAGGCTGCAGCTGATCCTTGAGCTGCTGATGCAGGAGCCGTGGGGCAGTGAAGAGCAGTTCTCTGTTCTCAGTGCCCTGTCTGGATGGCGTCTGGGGACAGCCCTGGCAGCAGGCAGGAGGTGAGCAGGGCTGTGGGGGCACTGGGCGGGGTTGGGGGTACCCCCGTTGTGCTGACACCAAACTCTTTCCACAGGTCATCTGCTGTGGATGAGTCGTGCCAGTCCCTCCTGTCCCACTCAGACATCAGCTATGACCGCACTGAGGATGATGTGGTGAGAAGTGACCTGGGGGAACTTCAGGAACTGCCCATGGTGATGGGCAGAGCTCAGGTGCTGGGGTGCTGTTGGCCTGGCAAATGCCAGCACCTCTGCTGTCTTTCAGGATGTTGATGTGATGGTGGTGCAGGCCCTAAAGCGCAAGGCCCAGGAGAGACAGGTATGTAGGAGGGATGCTAGGGCATGATATCCTTCCATCCCTGCACAGAAGGCTGTGAGGAACCTGGCAGGGGGTTAATGTATTGCTGCTGGGCTGGGAGCGCCGTCTCTCAGCAAACCTCTGCAATCAATAGAAACTCCATTACCCTGTGCTGTGGCCCAGCTGGGCTCCTTAATAATTCATCCCCACATGTGGGCATCCTGCGTGCTGCTCTGCATTGCAGCCCTGGCCTGGGCTCCTGCTCCCTAGGTCTGGGTTCCTATGTGGCTGCTGTGGGGTCTGGATGCAGCCACATTTTGGGGGGCTGAAACCATTGCATCTGGGTGCTTGGTGGGCAGTCAGGGAGAGGTTCTCCTCCTCATCAATCCTTCTGTTCTGTCTCCAGCGCCTGTCCCTGGCCCCTCAGGTTGGCCCTGTGGTTGTGGCGAAGCGGCACCGTTCTTCTGTGGCACCCTCCAGCACTGTGAGTGGAGATCCCCTGGGCTGGGCAGCTGGCTGAGCACCGTCTGTGGGGCTGCAGCCAGACACCACCTCACTGTCTCTGCTTCACAGGAGAGCATCCCCCCTGTACCCCGTCCTGCTGAAGTCCTGGAGTCTGCCTGCAGCCCCCCGCCTCCTGTGCTAGTGCCACGCCGCTGCTCGCGCCAGGGTCACCGCGTCTCCACCCATGCAGGTCACGGTGGGGGGGAAGCGAGGGCTTGGGTACGAACAGTATGCTTACGTGGGGGAAGTGAGACTGGAACTGGGGTACTTCCATTGCAGGGGAGATCAGCTGGGGGATGGTTGTGTGGCACTAAGGTCCTCTGGATGTGCCATGTGCCTCCATCCCCACTGGGGGGCTGATGGATTCCCAGGAAGCAGGGAGCCTCCCACATCCCTTGGCTTTGGGGAACCCTGCGCTCCTCCTTCTCTCTGCAGAGCTGACCACAGTGTGGGGCACCAGCGAGGATCGGGGCGGCCGTGCATTGGTGCAGGAGAGCCAGGCTGAGGGCAGCTCTGTGGGGCAGCCGGCGCCGGGCCCCCCTCACTCCCCTCCACCTGACTTCCCGTCCCCCCAGCACCACTTCTCCTCCAAAATGGTGCGGGCCGAGCACCCTCTCCTTTCATTGGACCCTATGGTGAGGGGAGCCAGCAACGGCCAGAGCGGTGCTGGGCCCTCACCCCGTCTCCCTACCCCAGGTCATCCGCCCGGAGCCCTGCGGTGCCTGTAGCTCCCTCCTGCGCTTCGGGAGGGCTGCGCTCAAATGTCGCCAGTGCCAGCTGCTGCTGCATCCCAAGTGCCGGGAGCGCTGCCCCGGGCCGTGCACCGCCCGGCCTCGCCCACAGCCCCGGCCCCGCGAGGTGAGCGGGTGGCCGCGTCCCCGGGCACCAGGGCTGGGTGCTGAGCGGGCCAAGCGCTGCCCTCCCTTCTCGTTGCCCCCCTCTCTAGGGTGTGCTGGCCGACTTCGCCCCCCGGACCGCCCCGCTGGTCCCAGCGCTGGTGGTGCAGTGCGTGACCGAGGTGGAGACGCGGGGCCTGGCTGAGGTAGGGGACGTGGTGGTGTGGGGTGAGGCCGTGCTCCCCGCAGGCTGAGCCGCTCGGACCCCGCAGGCTGGGCTGTACCGGGTGCCGGGCGCGGAGCCGCTGGTGCGAGAGTGGAAGCGGCGGCTGCTGCACGGCGGGGAGACACCAAGCGGCGTGGCCGACATCCACGTGGTGTGCGGCGTGCTCAAGGACTTCCTGCGGAGCCTCAAGGAGCCGCTGGTCACTTTCGGTCTGCACCCGGCCTTCCTGCGGGCTGCCGGTGAGCGGGGCTGTGGAGATTCGGATGGGGCGGGGGCCGCTCCGCTCCCGTAATACCCAGTGCCTCCGCAGACATCCCCGACGAGGCTGCCTGCGGCACGGCCCTGCGGCACGTGGTGGGCAAGCTGCCTGCCGCCAACAGGGACACGCTGGCCTTCCTCATGCTGCACCTGCTCAGGTGAGGGCTGCAGGACTCCAGCCCTCCCCACATGTAGAGGTGGGCACCCTACGGCCAAGCCATGTGCCCACCCTGTCCCCTCGCAGGGTGTCACGCAGCCCCGAGTGCAAGATGGATGTCCTCAACCTGTCCCGTGTCTTCGGCCCCACGCTGGTGGGGCACGGCTCTGCCAACCCCACACCACTTGCAATCATGGAAGACACACCACGGCAGTGCAAGGTGAGCAGAGCACAGGCTGCTGGTGCTGCCACAGGTGCTGCCTGCCCCTCCTCCAGCATCTATTCCTTCCTCTGCAGGTGGTGGCTCGGCTCCTGGCACTGCCATCTGACTTCTGGAGGGGCTTTGTGGCGACAGAACAAGAGAACCCAGTGCCAACGCCAGATCCAAGCAGCAAACATGGTGAGTGTGTGGGACACCCATAGCTACAGCAGAGCCAGTGTGTGACTCCTTGCCCCTAAACCACCCTGTGTCCTCCAGAGCCGCTGTTCTGCCCCATCACTGCCCCAGAGCCACATATGGGACAGCTGAGCCCCACCAGGACGTGCTGCCTGCCTGGTGCCCTGCGGAGCTGCGTGGGCACAGCCACCCAGGCACCGTAAGTGCTGCTGGAGGGGGGTTGGGGGGTGCCTGCCTCGCATCCTGACTCATCTCCTGTGTTCCCCCGCAGGCAGAGGGCAGCCCCTGGGAAGGTGGGGCGGTTCTTCCCCTCTCCAGTGTAGCTGTGGCTCCCTAGGGATGGAACTGGTGCCGGAGTAGCGAGGAGGAAGAGAAAGAGGACGGAGCAGTGTGAGCCTGTGGTGCTCAGCTTCCCTGTAGCTTTGGGTGGTACAGGGATGATGCCCTGCGTGGGGCTTGGTGGTTGGTTTGTATTAAATGTTTGCAGCAAAACTGGCCTGAGTGTGAGTGGCATCTGCAGCAGGAGAGCTCCAGGGTATATGGACAGGACTGGGCTGGGCTGAGGGCTCAGTGGGCAAGAGCTGAGCTGAAAGCACTGTTCACAGCAGTCCCCAGCATCTTGTTTCTACAGAGGCAAGACAGCTGCCATCACTCATGGGCAGGGAGGGAAAGGCAGGGCCCCCTGCAGTCCCTCTACTGTGGGCCCCTTGTCAGCCCAGATGCCGATGGCCTCCAGTAATCGGAGCTGCTGCTAAGGGCAGAACAGCCCCAAGACTTCCCTTCCTTTTAACTCAGGGCCCCTTTTAACTCCTTCCTCACCTTCAGCAGAGCTGCAACATGCAGCAGAGGTGTGCAAGGCTCTGCTTGCAGCAGAGTGGGTGGATGGGCAATGGCCCAGGCAGGGCTTGTTTCTCCCCTACCTGACACCTATTATGTAGCACAAGGAACAGGCAGTAAGGGGGCTACTGAGGGAAAAGGGGCCTTGCACAACAGGGGGAAAAACTGCCAGAGCCATGTCCAGCAGCTGAGAAACCTTCGTCCATACTAAAACCCAGGGCAGGTATGGGACACAGGAAAAATATTCAGAAGTGAGCAAGTACTTTGGCTCAGCTCCCCTCAATGCAGGGGTGTTCACCAGAGGGCAAGAAAATTAGCACATCCAAGGCAGAGGCAAAACTGAAAGAGTTTAATGTGCTTAAAGTCAGGGAACAGCTAATCTTCACCAAGGACCACAGCAGAACTGGCAAAGGAATGCACAAGGCTGGGAGCAAGGATTTGCTGCAAATCCATCCAGCTGGGGTGGTATGGGATGGATGGAGAATCCCTAATGCAGTGCCTGGTGGGAAGTGAGGCGTGATGCACCCTCGGCAGCACACAGGGCTTTAGCGCAGAGCTGCATGACATGGAGGGAAGGCAGGGAGATAAGTGGATAAAGGGCAGCACTGGTTTCTACTGTGTGCCAGGATCAGCAGTGAGCTGCCTTCAATAAAAACAGGTTTTACAAGCCGCAGCAAGGCGGTAAATCTTTCTGCCCCTGCACACAAGTGAGATGATTGCTCCTGTGCCCTGTGGCCATCACTGGTGCGAGGGCAGGCATGCAGTGAGGCCCCTGTGTTGGCCCTCAGGAAGGCAGGGAGCCATTGCCCTATTGTAACCTGTGCAAGTTACAGCCTGATGAGAGCACAGGCTGCCAGCTCTGCCTCACACAGAGCCTTTGTATGAAGGTGCTTCTATGGGAGTGGGTACTTTCACAGCTACCTCCAGGGCCAGCAGTGATGTGACAGAGCTCGCTGTCCCATCCAGTGCTGTTAGACCAGCCCAATGCTGCTGGCATTGCCCCACGGTAGGCAGAAGTCCAGCTCAGGCTCTTGCAATCACGCTGCTGAATCTTCCCACCAGGCTCATGCTGGGTGGGGTGTATGGGCAGAACTGGCAATTCAAAGCTCCCCTGAGATTTGGGAGAGCTTTTGAGAGACCCCACCTTATGAGGAGTTGGAAAGAGTAGCTGTTGAAGAGCCGGGGCAGGAGTACCAAGTTTTCCAGGGCAAGGCCATGCTGGTAGTGCCCTTTGCTATGGCAGTACCCAGAGTTCAGGACCTAAGATGCTGCAAGGAGCAGGTGATCTGCTCAGCCAGCAGCTTGCCTGGAGCCAAGGGCCCTGTGTAGGCCCAAAGCCTCATCCTGGGCTGCAAGAGAAGCAGCACATGAGACTGATGGCTCACCAGCTTTAATGTCTATCTGGAGCTGGCTTCAGGCACTTGCAAGGCTCCCACACCTGGCCCTCTGGAGTGCTGGGAGTCCCCAGGAGTCCCCCTATCTGGGGGCTGGCAGAGGCCATCCCACCCAGCAAGCAGCTGACTCACAGGATGATCTGGTTCTTGTAGCTGCGGCTCAGCTCCTTGTGAGGAAGGACGATGGAATTGAGAATAACAACCTCAGCAGGGATGGTGACACTGCAGCCTACAGGGAGAGCGTGAGGGGTTTAAAAAGAGGAAGAGGACCCTGACTCACACTGTAGGACCTGGTGTAGGGCTGGGATGTACTTACCCAGGATTGTGATGGAAGGTGTGAGGCGGCCGTCGCGGAAGAGTGTCTCGCTGTCAATTTTGGCATAGGGATCGTTGGGGTTGGGGTCACTGGGTGTCCCTTCAACCCGGGCCCAGCGCCCAATGGTGCTGTCCCAGCCCACAATGGTATTGAGGACACAGGTGTGGTCCTGGAGTACAGTGGTGGATGAGTGGTGCAGCAGGGGGCTGAAGAGGAGACCACCCCTGCCCAAGAGCAAACCCTGCTTACGTGCAGTGAGGCCCCATGCAGGATGATGGACTCGCGTATGCGCACACCAGCTCCTACCGTCACTCCTTCCCCAATGGAGACATTGGGGCCTAGCTGTGAAGACAGAGGATTGGGGTAAGGTCATGGACAGTGGTGTCCTCAACCCCGCAGTCTTCCTGCACTCACCACTGCTGTGCTGTCAACAGAAGCTGTAGGGTGGATGTACACATTCCCTGCAACACAAGGCAGCTATGTGAAGGGAAGCAGACCAGAGCCCAAGCAGCACCTGGCTGCTGAGAGCATGGGAAAAGCTGTCTGTGGACCCTGGCTACCCAAGGTAGCTCCCAGGCTCTGGGGAGATGTCAGTGAAGTACCTCGGATGATGGGGCCTCCAGGTTTGTTTTGGGCCAGCCTCTCTGGGTGGCTTTGGCTGTACTGGTTCAGGTAGAGGCGACTGGCATAGATTGCAGAGCTGGGGAGGAAAAATAGAAGATTGTTATTTTCTCTCTGTTGCCTTCAGGACAGAGGAGAGTCTGAATTCAGTACCTGCCATCCTATCCACCCACCAGGCTCTGTCTGGGCATCTGCCTCTCCCACATCTGGCATAACTTACTCAGAGCTCCTGCTGCACCAGCCAAAGCCCTTACCCAGCTGATTTGATCTGGCTCCAGAAGCCATCAGTTTTGTAGACGTAGAGTTTACCACTCCCAGCCAGGGCTGTGAACACATCCTGCTCCAGCCGGATCACTTCAGCACGCTGCCAGCCATTGGAGTTCTCCTCTCTGCAAGCAAAAGGTCTCTTAGATCCCTGCCCCAGCAGGGGACCCTGGCAGACCCTCTCCAAAACTGGGGGGCTCCTTCCTAGATGTGCACTTCTCCCCAGAGACAGGGCCATCTCTGCCAAGCCTGCAGTTACTCTGCCAGCTTGAATAAGTTCTGTGCCAGAAGTGGATGGTGCAAGAGCTCCACCCAACCCAGGTTGTGACAGATCCTGTCCCCTAGCCCAGAGCCCTGCACAGCGGGATTGATGCTGGGTGGTGGCAAAGGTGACAGGCTGCTGTGCAGAGAGCTGAAAGGGGAAGCAGAGCGCTCCCAGTTGAAAAGCCCCTTGTCCAGAGCTGTATGAGAATGGGATGGGAGGAGAGGAACGGAAAGGGCATCGGGAAGAGATGCACAGGACAGCCTTACAGGGCTGTAGCAGGGAGGAAAGCATGCGTTACCACCAGGCACAATCCAGCACAGAGCAGCCATCACAGACACAGAAGGACTGACTTACCCAAGGTAAGGACAGCTGGTGCAGGACCAGGAAACAAGTGAGTGATGGCAAAGGAGGAAAGAAGATAGAGAAAGAATGGAAGATGAGTGTGCTGCTGCAGGCCTGGGGAGCAGTGGGGTAGGAGAGACACGGGGCAGAAAGGGGCTCTCACAGTGCTAGCTCCTGCTGGTTCCTTTGGAAGACCTCGCCGATGTGCTGGAAGATGGCTGGTGTGAAAAGGTAGATGCCACAGTTGATGATCTCACTGACAAACGTGCTGGGCTTCTCAACGTAGTGCTGGACCTGAGTGAAGGAGAGATGTGAGGGCCAGGGCAGAGCCTCAGCGCCACGTCTACTGTTCACTCTTTGTCTTCCTCTACCTCCTGCGTGTCTGCGTTGGCCACGATGCAGCCATAATTCAGAGCCTGCGTCCTGTTGGCCTGCAGAGCGGGGTGTGTCAGTGTCAGGGGAGCAGCAGGTGGGTGAAAGCAGAGCTCACAGCCTAGGGCTCATCCAACAGCTTCCAGCCAAGCCCATGCCACAGCTGCACCGCTCCCTGTCCCTGCCACGCACCGTGGTGCCCAGGATGACAAAGCTGTCCGTGTCCCCGTGCTGCTGTTGGAAGTCCAGCATCTCCTGCAAGGGGAACTCGGAGCACACGTCCGCGTTGAGGACAAAGAATGCATCAGCACCACCTGCCAGGATCTGGTCACGGAAGTGGTAGATACCCCCAGCCGTGCCCAGAGCCGCATACTCCTGCAGGTACCTGTGAGGGAGGGAGGGCTCAGGGACAGCCGTGCTTTGCGACAAGCGCTCTGGGGTGGGTGAGAAGGGAAGGCAGGGCCAAGGGGGGCACCTGGTAGAGCACCCACCTGATGGGAATCTTGAATTCCTGCTGGGCCGCCGCCAGGAAGCGGCTGAGGGCTTCGTGGGGCTGGTAGAAGCCCATCAACAGTATCTCCTTCAGGCCGGGCACCTGCGGGGGCACAGTGGGAGGGCAGCTCCTGCACGGCGCCCGGCCCGGCCCGGCCCGGCCCGGCTCAGCCCGGCCCCCGCGTACCTTGGCGCACGCCTCGATGTGGTGCTGCACCATGGGCACGCCGGCCACGGGGAACAGCGGCTTGGGCACCTCGAAGGAGAGCGGCCGGAAGCGGGTGCCTGCGGTGCACAGCGGGTCGGCGGGGCCGGGCGCGGGTCGGCCGCCCCGCGGAGCCCGGCCACTTACCCTTCTGCGGGCCCCCGATGAGGATCACGGCCTTCAGCGGCATGACAGCACGGCTGCCCGGCCTGGCGCGACACTTCCGGGACACATCAGCGCGCTCCGCCGGCGCCGTCGCGTCACCGCCGGCACCGCCCCGCACCCCGGCGCCGCGCCCGCCTCCCGCCAGGGGGCGCCGTAGCGCTGCTAGAGCAGCCGCGCACGCGTTTAGGGCGTGGCCGTGCGCATGCGCGTGGGGCCGTTGCGGTGCGGGGCGTGAGCGAGGCCTGGTGGTGCGGGCTGAGGGAACGTGCTGTGTGCGTGCACGGCCCGCCCCGAGCCGCTGCTCCTCCCAGCCTTCAGTCGACCCCTGAGCTGAGGCCCCCCCAGGCTCTCCCTCAGGCTGTCACCACCCCGTAGCCACGCTACCCCTCCCACAGAGGCACGCGGACAGACTCGGGCTGCTCAGGGCCTTTATTGCTGCTCTGGCACGGCACTCGCTTCAGCCCGCAGGGACAGCAGCGCCTCCGGGGCCTGGCAGAGAGCTGGGGGCACAGAGCAGGGGCAGAACTTCTCCCCGCTGTCCATAAATAAAGTCCAGTCGCTGCAGTGCAGTTGCCCCGTGCTGCCCCAGCCAGGGGCACCCAGGGGAGGCGATGGGGTCCGCGCAGCGTGGGGCACCCCGCAGGGCAGCGTGTGTGTGCGAGGGCGTGCGTGTGCGTGGGGCGTGTGGTTCAGCAAGGCACATGTGGGGTTGCATGTGGGGCGGGAGGGGCTGCATGGAGCATTTTGGATACGGGCAGCTGCAAGCATCTCTTCCTGCTCCCAGTGCCCCCAGAAGCAAGAGCAGTGTGGGCCTGAGCAGGTGCAGAACATATGTAGCCCAGGGAAGGCACCGGTGTGGAGCCCGGGCTGCAGCCCTCTGGAGCAGAAGCAGGCCCGTGCTGCCGGCTGGCCCCTCTGCGCAGCCCAGCGGAGCTGCCTCTGTCTTCGGCACTCCCGTGCAAAGCACGCTGACCGTGGGCATCCCCAGTCTGTGTTAGGGGATGAGGCCGCCCCTTGTCCCCCCGTGTCATGACAGTGGGAGCCACGGGCTGCGGGTAAGGCACGTGGCTGGGCTGGATGCTGCAGGGGCAGCCACATCTTTGGGCCAGTCCCCCACTGACCACGTGGCCTAGGCTGGCCGGCATGCTGGCAGATCTTCCAGACCTCCATCTCCATTCTGTTCCCATCACATTCTTCCCCCAACCCTCTGCCACATTCTCCATCCATTCCAGCATTGCCATCTGACCCCAGCTGGGGCACCATTTTCTGGAAACTCTTCTTCGACTCCACTGAAAGACGCCACTCATCTCTGTCCCTGTCCTGCCCTGCCGGCATCCCTGGCAGGTGGGGTCCGTGGGCTCATCCTGGCTCCTCGGCCGCCCTGTCCCGCGGCCCCTGGAATGTTCCTCTGGCTCCTCACCCCTCACGGCTACTGCGGCCCTGGTGGCTGGCCACCCTGGTAGGAGCGGAGTAAGACCTTGTGCTTGGTGACAGCCTCACCACGACGCCGCTGGTGCTCCACCAGGAACTCCTTGAGGCGATTAGTGGTGAAGGTGAGAGTCTGGCGGCGCAGCTTCATCAGGTAGGCATCCTGGAGCCAGGTGTTGGCGAAGCAGTCCTTCACCGTGGGGCGGCTCCTGTGGCAGTTCAGTGTCAGAGACCACTGGGTGCCCACCACCTCCACACCGTCCCCAAGCCAAACACCAGCACCTCCCTCCAAGACCCCCTGAGTGTCCCCCTGGGTCTTCCTAAGCAGGCATGAGGCTCAGGAGGCACTCACCAGGGGTGGACAGTGAGGACCTTGCGGATGAAGAGGGCAGCGCTCTGTGAGACGTTGGGGTACAGCTTGAAGGCATCAAATCGCCCTGCCAGGATGCGGTTCTCTGTCTCAATGGGGTCCAGTTCAAAGAATGGTGACCGCCCACTCAGCCTGGGAGGGAAGAAGTGGCACGGGCTGGGCACAGTGGCGAGAGGACACCGAGCACCCACCCAATCCCCATGTGGGACAGACATCCAGCTGAGAACAGTCTGTAGGGCTACAGCATCCCCCCCCTAGCTTGGTGGCCCTTGGTGGGGGGCCTACATCTCAGATGCTCACCCCCAAGTCCCCTTCTCTTACATGATGTAGGTGAGGACGCCAACACCCCAAACATCTGCAGCGGAGCCCACCGGGTCGCCTTTCACCACTTCTGGCGCTGCAGACAGAGTGAGCAGCCCTGTCATATGCACAGCAGCCAAACCCAGCACCTGTAGTAAGTACAGCACCCCCAACACCCACAGCCAACACAGCACCATCAACACCCCACCTTTTTTCCCTCCCAGCACCCCTTGCTGACACCCCAGTGCAACCCAGCATCAGGTACTCCTACTGCCCCACAGATACCCAAATGCTCCCACTGAGCCCAACAGCTCTAACAGTCCCCTCTAGATACCCCCAGCATCCCAACCACTACTCAGCTTCGCCAGGCACCTCTTAGCTCCCCAGGCTCCATGCATGGGCACAGCATGCCCCACTCACACATGTACTCCAGTGTGCCCACACGTCGCCCCAGCTGCCGCAACACCAGGGGGTTGTAGGTCTGGGCGCTGCCAAAATCAATGATCTTGAGAGCATTTGTGCCCGAGACCACAACGTTGTCAGGCTTGATGTCAAGGTGCACAATGCGGCGGCCATGCAGGTACTCGAGGCCCTGCAGCAGCTGCAGGACATAGCTCACCACATCGTCCTCCGAGTAGCGAAACCTGGGGATAGGGGACATGAGCAGAGTTCCCACACTGGACCCCCAAACCCTGCCACCCTCACCCCCTGGACCTGTCCACGATGCTGTAGAGGATCTCCTTGCCAGCACAGTTCTCACAGATGAGCACCAGGTAGCGAGGGGTGATGTACGCCTCGTGTAGGGCCATGATCCGCTCGTGGTGCAGTGCCTTCAGGATCTCGTACTCCTGCAGCACGCTCTGCTTCCTCTCTGCCTCATAGGGCACAATCTTGGCCATGAAGAGCTTTCCTGTGGCATTCTCTTTGCAGAGCCGAATTACCCCAAAGCGACCCCTGAGGCACAGCGTCATGTTCAGCCCCCTGTGCAGGATGCTCCAGGAGAACCCTGGCACAGCACCTCCCCACTCACTTCCTCACCTCGCTTTCTCATCCAGGAAAGTGTATGGCTTCTGGGGGACACCCTGCCGCAGTGCTGTGCCGTCCGGGGCCCTACTGTCACCTGAGGGTTCCTTGGAGGATAGAGTAGAGGCAGGCACCTCCCGGGACGGGGGTGAGGCAGGGGGCATAGACACGAAGGACGTGACCATGTAGGGGGGCATTTTCCTGGTGGGTGCAGTGTTGGGGGTGGTGGATGCCGAGGGAGCAGGGGAGGGTTTGGATGGAGAGGGTGCTCTGGGTTGGTGGGACACCCGCGTGGGCAAGGTGGGAGCAGATGTGTCCATGGGAGCAGCAGTGGTGCCTGTGTGGGGCATGGCAGTAGTCTGAGGGGCAGTGAACACCAGCTCTGGGGGCTCGCAGACAGTGATGTTGGGTGGGAGCTTGGGGTCTGGCTGTTCCCCCTCAGGGACACCTGGCTGCAGTGGCTGCTCAGGCTTCTGCAGCACCGCCTTGTGCTTGCGAGGTGGAGTGGTTGGGGGCAGCCCTGAGGCCGGGGGCTCCAACTGTGCCTGCGGTGTTTGGGTCGACCGGCTGGAAGCTGCCTTGTCAGGCACGGGGATGGCAGTGTTCTTGGCTGGAGCAGCATGGGAGTCTGCAGGGAGGAAGGAGAGCCATGAGCAGAGTTGCGGTATGTGTATCCAGGAACAGGGTGCAAACAGCATCCCACTCTCTAAATTCCTGGGCAAAGAGCCCCCAAAGCACCGTGCTGCTGCAGCCCCATGCCGCAGGGCTCACAGTAGGCACTGCCCTACGAGAACAGCTGGCTTACCCTTTGCCTCCAGGTGCACTTTGCCTGATGGGGTGCTGTAAGGCCCCTGCCCAGCTTTATTGACGCAGGCGACCCGGAACTTGGCTGCGCTGCCAGGGGGCAGCTCTGTCACGTTGAAGTAGCAGTCAGTGATGCCAGTGCTGACCAACTTCCACTCGTGCTCCCCTGCCGGCACGGAGGCATGATGAGGTTCCGGCTGCACCCTGTCCCACTTTCCCAGGCCTCCAGCACCCATCCATGCAAGGGTGAGCATTGTAGCCCAGCCAAAGGTGCCCCCAAGCAGAGTGGGGGCGGCCATGTTTCACTGGCCACGTACCCTCCAGCCTGTGCTCCAGCGTGTAGGTGCAGGGGGCTTTGCTCTCTGCGGGCTTCCATAGCACCAGCACCGTGTTCTTGTACTTCTGAGCGATCTCCGGGGTGCCTGGCCGCCCGGGAAGCCCTGCCAGGGGACACAGAGTAGGCAGGCTGGGTGCCTGGCCAGCAGAAAGGTGTGTGGGCTTGGACCCACAGGGAGATGCCTGTGCAGCAGCAGCCTGAAAAGCCTTGGAAGCCTCAAGTAGGGATGTGTAGAGCAGGGATCCAGTGCTCTGCCCTAGAGAGTCCCCAGCCCCATGGCTGTTTCACCGTGTTAGCAGCAGTGCCTAAGCATGCATCCCTCCTGCCAGAGCCAGCCCCGAGCAGCCCGAGCAAACAATCCCCAGCACCTGGTATGTGTTCTGTCCCTGTGGGGCAGCACCTCTGTCCCCTGAGATCCCTCCACCCGTGTGTCCTTACGTGCCACAGCCAGCGTGCAGGAGCTGATGGCTGTGCCCAGGGTGTTGGCGGCTGCACACTCATATAGCCCCGCATCCTTCCTGGAGACCTTGGAGATGGTGAGCATCTGTCGGCCGTCTTTGCAGGAGATGATGTTCAGCACGTTGTCTGCCTGCAGCGACCGCTTATCTGAAAAGGGGAGCAGAGGAAATCAGTGCTTCTGCTGCTCCCTGGGCACCCACTCACTCAGGCAGCCCTGGCAGCAGCAGCCCCCACCTTTCATCCAGACAATTCTGGGGGTCGGGCAGCCAGCAGGCAGGCAGCAAAGAGTCAGGGCATCGCCCTCCAGGAGCACCTGGTCCTTCAGCTTGATGTGAAAAATGGGGGG